AAGAGTTAGAAAAATTACTATGTCACAAGTCCTAATGAAATAATGGATTCAGGCGACAACGATCAACAGATCAAAACCACTAGGTGGTAGGCTGACAGGGAGCCTGACAATGGCAGGATCAGGCTGCGACCTCTGGAGCCCACTGACCAACCTGAGCATTACTAAGCCTGGGATGACCAGACAGTCTGTGACCCTAATGTCAGGTAATAAGAAGTACAAGGATCACCTTTGCAAAGAGTCACAGTTGTTAAACCCGGGTCTCACCAAACCTTTAGAAGTAACTGCAAGACTACACAAAACATGGAGAATAAAAGAACACATTAAACAACACAACAGGGAAGAAATCAGATTAAATCCAGCACGTGGGACATTCTATCTAACAACTGACCTGGTTTCTCCAACAAGACAATGGAATGAAAAAAATGGTGAGCAGGCAGAGGGACCCCTCTGGATTAAATGAGATTTAAAACACACAGCAAACAAATATGGTGTGTGGGCATTGCTTGGATACTGAATTGAAGAAATCAGGTATAAAAGGTCATTTTTAAGAACAATTGGAGAAAACAAAATACAGACTAGGCATGAGGTTTTCTCAAAGAATTATTATTAGGTTTGACAAGCATTGTAATTATAGAAGAAAATGTACTTTTTTTTAGAGATGAAATAGAAACTTCAGGGCTAAAAGAGGTGTGTCAGTGGCACGGCACAGCATCCACATCAGTCAAATGAGAATTCAAGGCAATAAAGGGCATAATATAGGCCTTAGAAGCTTATTTTTATATTGATAATAGGCTTACTGTACAATGACAATTGGTTAACTACTAAAAAAAGTGTAGAACTATTCAACTCAAGAACATGGAAAAATAGATTAATGAGAAAAAATGAATAGGAAAATAGGAAGAATGAATTAAAGAGAAATAAAAGCAGAAATCAATGAATCAGAAAATAACGGCACTGATATATAAACGCAGAAGCAAATTCTTTGAAAAGGACAAAAAACTAAAAATCTGTAGTGAGGCTAATTAAGAAAAAGAGGAAGCCCGAACATTAGGAATGAAAGAGAGAATATAAACAAAGATATAGAGGACATGAAGTAAACATGCTATCAACAACTTAATAAATTTGAAAACCTTAATTTAATGGAAAATTTCCTGGGAAAATCCAAAAAGTTGGAATTAACTCAACATGCAAAAGACATGAGGAAATTGAAAAATTGTTGAAGAACTCCCTATAGTGGAACTAGTCCCATTCTTTTCCGACAAGTTTTTTCAAACCCTCCACAAGCAGGTACTATGTAAACTATTAAAACTGTTTCAGAATACACATCAAAATATGAAAATTTTATAATTTTGTTATATATCTAATGTGTCAACAAAAATCAGTTGATCTAAGAAAGAAATGGAAAATTTCATCCAAGGTAAATTTGAGGTTTATAACCCAGAAAGAGCATCTCAGAAAGCTCTGAGAACTGTTCCACCCATTAGAAGTCAAGGCACTGTTCCGTAAGTTTTTTGAGACAGAGGGCTGTACATCAAATGATGTGTTATCGACAATTTACATAATCCAGATCTAAATACCATGTGACCACTTACAAGATCAAAAAGGAATTTTATCTTTAAGGAGTTGTCTTATTGATGCTACGAGACTACTTACTGATTGCTGTTTATGGTTGAGCAGATATTTCTGCAGACGGAGAAGGTTTGGTCCAGACATGATGCAGATACACAATACACAGCGGGCTGGGTGGAGGAAGGGGCCAAAGTGCAGAGAAAGTCTTTTTATGTTTACATTTTTCTTGTCTTGCCATAAAATCTGAATTTTATTTCACAAATGTTAACAGTATGTTGAATTCTAGATTTCCCAAAGCATTCTGTTTAGCACTGAGAGATACCCTGTCTCAACCACTATTAGCCAGAACCAAAGTGCAAGACTAAGGATTCTGGGGTCCTTCATCTGGCAAACAGGCAGCTCCTTAAAAGGAATGAAGGAATGAGGCCAATCTGGTAACGACAGCAAGGGTGGAGTGGGAAAGGAGACAGGACTCAGGAAACAGCTTTCATCCTGGTTCTGCCGCCTAGAATAACCTTAGCCTCTCTCTGGGACCCAATTTCTTTACCTGTAAAGGAGTTGGGATAAATTATCTTTTTATGGAATCTTTAACATTTGGTTCTGTATGTTCTGATTTCAGGAGCAACTCTGAATCAACTCTGATAACAGGTGCCAATAAACCCACTGGAAGCTTTTTTTTGGTGGAGGGAGGTAATTAGGCTTACATATTTATTTATTCTCAGAGGAGGTACCAGGGGATTGAACCCAGAATCTCATGCATGCTAAACATGCACTCTACCACTTGAGCTATACCCTTCCCCATGGAGTGGTTTTGAATACCAATGGTTGCTAGTCACTGAGAGAGCTGGTAGACAACTTTTGGTGTGTCTGCCTAGCCCAAACTCCTATAGTCGCCCTCTTCAACCCACCCCAACTGCAGGGCTGGGGTCCTGTAGCTGTGTTATATACCCCTTTTTGAGAAAAATCATCTTTCCAGTCATAACAATGTTCTCCCATTAAAAAAATATACATATGAGCAGTGGATGTTGGTGTTCAGAGAGAATAATAAAGCTAAAGTGCAAAGAAGGCATAGACAAGATCCATGATTGTAGGAAATTTATCTGGCTTGGTAATCTGAATCTCCAGTGCCAGACCAGCACCTGGCTCCAGTGAGCCTTCGTTAAGAACTGTTGAATGGTGGTGGGGGGAGGGAGGGTGCAGCTCAGTGGTAGGGTGCATGCACAAGGTCCTGGGTTCAATCCCCAGTACCTTCATTAAATTAATAAATAAACCTAATTACCATCCCCTCAAAACAAACAAAAAACTGGCTGAGTGAACACTGAATTCAGTTCCCCTAAATGGCATCCATAAGATACTCCTGTATTTCTCTACTCACTCCCTTGTTTCCCTTCAAGCCAGTGTGGTTTCCTACAGCCTGAAAGCCCTGTCAAACACATTATGGGACCCTTCCCATATAACCATCACTCCCTTCACTCATCATACGCCTGGCCTCAGGGAAGACATCAAAGACTGGACTGACACAAGTTCCTTCCCGGGAATGTGGAATTGGCACATGGGGAGACTGGGTCAGGTCAATGGCCCTGGAGTGGGGTTGTGATGGGGAGACGGGGAGGTGTGCAAGGCTGGCTGTAAAGGGATAGGAAAGATGCAGAGAAGGGAACTGACAAGGGTGGTTCTGAGAGACATCTTCCCCCTTCCCATTAGCCAAAACGAAATGGCAAACATTTGGGGGCAATGAAATGTTTTGATTGTGGTGAGTTTCATGCATTTGTCAAAACTGATCAAAATTTAAGTACGTGCAGTTCATTGTACTTCACTGTACATCAGTAAAGTTGTAAAAACAAATGTGGAAACTGCTTAAGTTGAATCCTTTCTGTTATTTTATAATAACCAATAAAGTTCCAATGATGGCACAGCACTTAAGGAGGCCCTTTGTTATGACTGCTATTTTGGACTGTGCTTAATATCAGCACTTTTTTATTTATCCCAATGCCTTCTCACCCCTCTTCACCCCTCTCAGCCCTCACCTATCCCCCCTCATGGAAGTGAACATGTAATAATAAATAGTAAATTGTAATACCGTAACCAAGTTGGTGAGCTCTAATAATCACTAGAACTAAAATGCAAGACCTTACATATTTCTTGAATTTATCAAGAAGCTTTTACATTTTAGTCTTCTCTAAATTCCTTCCAGGAGTTAAACATTGTAAATTATTTTACCCGGATTATTTTAATCATAGGGCGTATCTGCCTCTATTCTCTACAGAACTAGTAACTGATAACGTAAGCCAGTGTTATGGCTTGTTAAAGTTACCCACGTAGACTGCAACCGCTTTTAAGACAGGATCAACTCATGTATCTTGAATCCCCAATTTACCAGCAGTGTCTAGTGCAGAGCAGAGCAAGCAGGGGGAGGGGAAGGGATAAAGGGTAAGATGTAAGATGGAGTAGGATGAAAAAGGGCCTGAGTGGGTACAGACCATGCAAGGCCTTGCTTAACGACCCATAACGATCCATAACGACCTTGGATCTCATTCTAATGGTGATACTAAGCCACTGGAGGATTTTCAGCAGAGGACTGGCATGGTCTGATTTATATTTCAAATAAGGATCACTCTGGTTGCTGTGTGAATAATTATGAAGGAAGTATGGAAGCAGGGGGTATACCAGAGAGTACCAAGAGAAATGGGTGCATATGTTCACTGACAGATACTGAAATGTTTACTGCCACTTTATTTGTAATAACCACAAATTGGAAACAACCAAAATTTCCATCAACAGGAGAATGGATTATTAAGTTGTGGTATAAATCATACAACAGAATACTACACAGAAGTAAAAAATGAACTGCTGCTACAGGCAACAACACGGATAACCCACAGACACAAAGTGAACAGAAGAGTACATATAATTACTACATTTACACGAATCTTTAGAACAGACAGAAGTAATCCATGGTGATAAAGGTCAGAATAATGGTTATGTGTGTGGGAGGGGGGCATAGGGCACCTACTGGGGGTTAGAAATGTTCCGTCTTGACCTGGGTGATGGGTTCAAGGGTGTATATAAAAATCCACTAAGGTGTACACTTAATATCTACCTTTTACTGAATGTAAGTTTCACCTCAATAAAAAGAAAAAATATTTTGAGAGATATTCTATAGAGACATACAGCTGTGTTTTAAATGGTTGTAATTGTCTTCAAAGTATTTCTGGGTCTCCTCCAATCCAAGGAAGGATTACTTGTTCCTCCATGAACTTTGGTGTGGACGTGTGGTTTGCTTCGGCCAATTAAAGTGCTTTAAGGACCTGTAAGTGATTTGTGATACTTTTTTCATTTACCAAAATGAGCAGCCATATCTTGGATGATACCTCTTGGTCAGCCTAAGTCTCAGAATCAGGACAACTTAGAGCAGAGAGCATCTTCCATAAAGGTCACACATCAAATATTTTAGACTTTGTAGGCCAGAGACTCTCTTCACAACAACTCTGCCCCTGTAGAACAAAAGCAGCCAAAAACAATACAGAAACAAACGGGCAAGGCCATCTTCCAATAAAACTTTATTTACAGAAACAGGCAGCAGGACAGACTTTGTCCCTAGGCCATAGTTCATCAACCCCAGACTTAGAGCAAAGGCCCTAGCCAAGCTGCATGACAAAGGTTGTGTGAGACACTGAGATTTTGGTGGTTCTTACTGCATGGCAACCAAGTCCATTCTGATACAGAAATTGCTTCTGTTTTCAAAAAAACCTAGCGTACTGAACATTCACTTAGTTGGCAGGCATTCAGGAAACTGCTACTGCAAGATGGAGGAAATAACTTATGCAGGGGCAATGCATGTTACAGAGTGGTCAGACTGTCCCTTGAGAAAATCTGGAAGGCAGAATATCTATCCTTTATCAGAGAAAAAGAAAAACAAGGAAAAAAAAATTTTTTTTGATTACTGTCAGCCCCATTTGACAAAATACATAGGAAAGAGATGAACTCAGAAAAGAATTCATCAGTTTGCCAGCAGAAATACAAGGGAATAAAGAGAGTTCACAAACTCAAGTATTACTGGGTAGGAAGAAGCTGCTTCTCAACTAGAAAGAGATGAAAACAAGAAATCCTTTACTCCAAAGGTTGATTAAAACCCAGACTTGCAGCAAGGATCAAATCACTGGATGACTATCACACCTGTTGTTTAAGATCTCTGAACGAGTGAATGGGCCTCAGACTCAAAGTCCAACTAAGAGTGTTAACGCTGGTGACTTCCTTAAATTGGAAAAAATGGCTCTCCCACAAAGCCCGAAAGCCCAAGCTACCCTAGAAACTGAGTTCAGAGAGGCATGTGAACCAGAAAGCAAAGAGATACAGCAAATCTAGGAATTTACACATTGTCTAGGTGTTACTTTTGTTTTACCTTCCTTGTGGAGGTGATGGCATTCTGCAGGTAGGAAAGCAAGTGAACTGAGTATCTAGTGACCAGAAGGGCTGAGTCATTCGTCTAATAATATTTTGTTAAATTTACTTACTTTAAAATCCCAGAAGAGCCAGAAATCATCTGTAAAGGAAAATAGCAAGTAAATAGTACGCCATTTTCTCCTAGGGTTGATGCTTACTAAAGCCAAACAGAAATTAACTCTTACGTAGCATTATCTTTTTCTGAACCTGAATGCCAAGTTTTTCGATTACTGAAGTACTGTTTTAGTCAACTAAATAGCTAGCTGTCCAATCTTTCTCATCCAGGTTCCTTTGCCAGATTTTTTTTTTAATTAAGACTTCTACATCAAGTAACTAAAGACAATATAACATCACGGATTTATGTTGCGTATACCCGACTTTACGACTTACGTTTATTAGGGCAAATTGCAAGCTAGCCACATGCCAAACACTGAGCTAAATTCTACGAATACAATTCCATAGCCACAAAGAACTTAGTTTCATTTCTTAATTTGTAATATGTGGGTAACAATTACCCAGCAAGCAGTTTACAGCAGGACCACTGTGAAGGTCAAATGAGACTATGAGAGGGCTTCAAAGATCGTAAAACGCTGCACTAGTATTTATTCATCCAAACATTTACTGAAATGTCAGGCATTGTGCTAAGCACTAGATAGAGCAGTGAGCAAGGCATATTGTCCCTGCCCTTATAAAGCTTATAGTCTAGCAGTGATCAGTAAGAAGGAACAATAAAGTGTGCCCAGTCTATAGCTGAGGAAGAAGAGGCTATTTAGGGAGTGCACAGTAGGGGCACCTAGTTAGAGGGTGTGCATCAAGGCATATAAACTGAAACCTGAAAGATGAACAGAAATTGTACGTTAATCTAAGAGCAATGGTGAAAGCAGGGGAGTGATCCGATCAGATACATCTTTTGCAACAACCTGGCTGCAGTGTGGAAAGGGATCAAAACCAGAGAAAGGGAGACTAACGAGGAGGCTTGAAGTAGGCTGATGGCCTGAATTAGGATAGAAGTACTGGAGAATTGAGAAAAATTTAGGCAGTAGACTTAACAGAAAGGTTTTTGTGAGTGGATGTCATGGATGAAGAGAGAAAAGCTATGGATAACTCGGTTTGGCGCTTGGGCCAGGGCCACTGAACGGCTGGTAGTGGTGGTGCCATTTACTGAAAGCGGGATCATGAAACCAGGAACAGGTTTGGGGACAAGATCAATGCCATAGAGCGGTGCCTATGAGACAGCAAAGCGGACTTAAGTTAGCAGTGAGATATACAAATTAGGAAAGGTCTAGAAAGGAGGTATGAATTTGGGAGTCATTTTCATAGAGCTGGCAACTGAAGCTGTGAAAGGAAATGAGATTGGCTAAGGAGATGACATAGAATAAGAGCTTAAAACAAAACATAAAAATCCCAAGGATACAGATATTTAAGAGAAAGAGATGCCCGCAAAGAAGACCAAGAAAACATACTTGGAGATGGGATCTCCCTGAAGCCAAACTAAATAAGTACTTCAAGGAGGGTGGCCAGTGGTGTCAGAGAGGGTAGGAATATTGACAAGGACTTAGTGAGCTTGGTAGAGCAGTCTGAGTGGCAATACAGGAGAGTGGGGATACAGACAAATCTTTTAAGAAAACTACTAGGAATGGGAGATATAGGGACATACGAGTTTTCAAAAAATAGTACTTATTTTAAATGTATTCACTGATACAATAGGACGAGTAACAACTACTTTACAAAAAGAAGTTTTTTAAGACTGCCATGCAGTTACAGAATTACTTAGTACAGAAAACAGTAAAATACACACTTTTTTCTCCTTTTTTTTTTTAAAACAACAAGACTAGTTTATAGCAAATTCTCTATTGTCCAAGATGAATTTTAAATCCTTGGCTTACATCTGTCCCACATTCAGCAACTAGTGTCTATATGGTGCCAACTAATTTTATTACTACCTTAAGCAAAATATATAGTAGAACTTCACAAAATGTACAAGGCCTCAGTATTTGAGGACCTGGGGTCAGAAAGCAGAAACAGCTTTCAGTCATTCTTTCAATAAAGCACTTGCCACGGAACAATACTCCAAACTCTTGGGAAATCACCGGTAGATTTTCTGTTGCTGTTTGGCTATTTTTTCACTATGGTCTTTCCAGATATTTAAGCTTACTCCCTTTAACCAAAATCTCAACTTGACCATTCTTGTTAAAGATTTTATTTATACAGAATACTTGCTTTTCTGCCTTAAACTAATTATGCAAAATAGAACAGAGCCCTTTCATCTGATTCAATACCGACTGCTGACTTACACATGCTATTGTGAGCTACCAGAACCTATCACGGCCTTTACTGCATTCTACCAGCCAAACTTGGAATGCTAGAATTAAGTCTCCCCATCAAGTACCGTCAGTTTTGCCCAACTTGCCCATCCAGTTTTGCTTCTACCAGTAATTTGCCCTGTCCCTCGAAATAAGATGATCCACACTAAGAATCTACCGGCACTTTGGGAGGGGTAATTCACTGTGCCATGATGTCCTCTGCACTGCTGGGGAGAGGGCAGGTCCTTCACACTTACAGAACCCCCAAATAAATGTGACAACCGAAAGAGTCCCCTTTATGTTCCCTGATGTCCTCTGGAAGGAGGAGATACTGCCTCTGGCTGAGAACCACTGGCACAATTTTGTTTCTTGGGCTCTTATGGCATATATTTTGATTGCTCAGGTTTTAGTTCCTTCTAAATTCTTGCTTGTATCCTGGTTACTTGAATTTGCTGAATTAGTGAGCATAGAAACGTGTCACAGTAGTTAAGACAGGACTTGAGCGCTAGTTTTCAAACTGTACTTGAGAGGATCTCTAAGCTGGGTCCTGCTTTTAAATCATTTCACGTATTTGTCTTGACTAAGATTTCCTTTTCATGGTTAACATAAGCTTGAAAATTACTGCTTTAGCACAAAGATGTCTCACTAGAAATATGGAAGTGCTACAACCTGTGAATAAAGCAGCTTCTCAAGAGTTAAACACTTCCATGTGCGCACTGTCTTAAATACACAATTTGCGGGACAGTTTCAAATTCTATAATGGATCTGTTTTCAGTGGCAAACAAAATTTGGTACCATATGACTTTAAAATGAAGGCTTTCCTTTAAGCAGGATTTCTTTATACAGCTCTAACACCCATGCAGATAGGACAAACAAGGTAAAATACCTCATACCTCCTGATCCTGGAAGGTAAACATCTTTTTTTCCTCATCCTTTCTGACAGGACCAAACTTCTGTCTAAAGTAGAAACAAGAACTACTAATGGGCAACCCCTAAGGGTCTATACTTACCGTAGTCCTTTGGTAGGCAAGCTGATAAAACAGCACCCAACTGTGAAAAATTCAGGGGAAACCTCCAATAATTGGTTAGGCTGATCTCCAAACTGCAGGAAGCCTCCTTAACCAGCAATTTAAAAATAATTCTTGCTCCTCTGACTAAAATGTTATTTGATTATTTTCTCTATTAGTAATGTCGTTATCACTAGGGCAGGTGAGGGGGAAGTGAGAGGGAGGAAATACGTCAATATTTACTTCAGACTCAGAAATATGTCTAAAAAAATAGTCTCAAACACTTTGATAGTTAGACAAAGTACCTCCACTGTATGAAAGGTCTTCCTTTTCAGAAACTTCTGCGCTTGCTAATGAGTTTCTGCAGGCTGGCTTGAACATACATTTAAGGACTGGATCATTTCAGACTATATGCATCAGAATTTTAACACTGTTAAAACAAGAGCAAAAATTTCTTCGGAACATCTTAAAAGCAGACTTCTAATTCAACTCACATTACTAGTAGTACACTTCTTTGAAAACAATTATATCATAAAAGCAAAGGATAATGACTTTGCCATTGAATTAAGTTTTTTAAAAAGTGTCTGCATGTTTCAGTCCCATGCTGCCTCTTGAGACGAAAAAAAATTTGTCTGAAGAATTTGACTTGTGATCAATTTGGATGAATAAATGTGGTGCTTTCTCACAATCCAAATTAATGAACATGAAAATCAAACTCTTGCTTTTAGAACTGGATTTCTGTTGAGTGTTTCAATGTTGTACTACAAAAGTTCATGGATTTGGTTCATTTCTTCCTCTCACAAGATCATCCCAACGCGGTTCTATTTCAGTGGTGGCAATTCTAAACAGGGCGTGAAGTTGTTCGTCTGTCAATGGCTGGCTCAAAGTGTGCTGGTTTCGAGTTAAATACGAAAAAGCCTTTTCACAGATTTCGCTACTATCAAACAAGGATGCCACCTTACAGGCAACCCCTTTGATAATTGGGTAAGATTCAGCAGACAATCCAGCATAGAACTGCCCCAAGTCTTTGGTTCTGTATTCGTTCCAAAGGTTAGTATTCGCCTGAAGTTTCGTTAGCTCCACCTTTACTGAAATAGGTGCATACTCAGTTTTAAAGCTAAATGGATTTGCAAAAAGCTCTAAGTCCTTTTTAATGAACTTGAGGTCTTTGAAATGTCTCTCAAACTCTTTTTGGAGGCGACAGATCACCACCTGATACCTACTAGGTTCAAATATTTTTTCATCTTCTTTAAGATGCTCTTTAAGCTCATCAGTAACTTCTCTCAAGGCGGCAAAGTGTGTTAGATTGTTTTCCTCAATATGCCTCTGAAGTAAATTCAGCTTAACTTCAAAGGTACAAATATGGTCAAAGGCAGCAGCAGCAAAGACCTTACTAACTCTCAACAGTACACTGAGTTCTCGAAGGTGGTCCATAATATCCACCAAGAAGCCAAAATCACAAAGCCACTGCTTGTCTGTGAAGTGGATCGTGGTCGCCCCTATTGAAACCAAGAATGTTTTTATCTCTTTTCTTAAGGAAAATATTAGTTTTAAAGTTTTCCCTCTTCTAAGCCAATTGTTCAGGCAGCGTCCATTAACCCTTTCACCGTGCTCTGATTCAGACTCGGTTAGTAAAGCCTGAAATTCCGGTCGCCTAACGCCTCTGGTCTTAATCAAAACTATCCATTCAGATACGGCATTTATGACCTGATTAACATCCAAATCGTAGGAGCTCAACAGTTCCAAGTGAAGAAATCCTGAATAATGGATAACATTCCAACAGTTGGGGCTCACAGCCTTTTCTCTCATGTATGACACCAGTCCTGAGTTCTCACCAATCATCCTCAGAGTGTGAGTCGTGGTCAGTCCAACCATCCGCTGCAAGCTAAGCCCTGCCGTCTGCAGGGCCTCAAGGATTGCCGCCATGAGGGCACCAACACTGAAATAATGAGTCAGGTTGATTATGGTCAGAAGCTCTTCCTGCACCACCAAATCGTGGCCCACGCCGCGGACAAAGACCAGGAGGTAGTTCTCATAGGCCACAAAAGCCTGGTCGTCCAAGGCAAGGGAAAAGGCTTTAAAGTCTTTAGCCCGGTTAAAAAGCTGACTGCGTAGATTCTCGTGAATGTCCAGGACCCTTTGCCGCGTGATCTCCGGGGATAAATCAACGCCATTCAGAACGCTTACGTGATCTGGCAGTACGTCTCTCAGCATCACCTCCATGCACCGGTACACAAAGTCCCCCTCACCCCAGCCGCTACCCTTCAAGGCCAGGAGGCGGGCGACCACGAGGCCTGCACGAGCAGCTCTCTCCTCGGGAGTGAGCGGGGCGGCCTCGGGCAAGTCGCCCCGACGCAGACGCTCCACCAGGGCTTCGCGCTCGCCCTCCGACACATACCGCTCGTAGTAGCCGTGCTCGGCCTCGTAGTGCTGCCTGACGTCGGGTTCGCTGGCAGCGACGACAACGCGGCGACAGACCAGGCACAGGGCGCCTTCACCCTCCGGAGGCTCCACCACCAGGTATCGCTGGGTCCACTCGGACCGGAACCCTCGAGACTCGTCGACTTCCATTTTGCTCCTCTTGGGCGTCATCCACATTTTACGAGGGGCCGCAGGAGCTGGGCCGACCTCGGCGAGGCCGTGAGGAGAGGGGAGGAGCAGGAGCGAGCCGCAAGCGCCTCCTCCGCTCTGCGCCAGATCACCTCAGCGCGGCACACCAACCTCCAGCTCCTGTGCCTCGGTCCCTATTGGCTGGAGATTTCGTTTTCCTCAGGCATGAGCCAATAGGAAGAGAGGACAGAGCTTTCTAGCGCGCAGACGCACATCCTTCCAGCTACTTGGTGGACCGAAGCCGCGTTAGGGAGGGACAAAGAGACCCGGAACCTACGGACTTTAGAAACTTGACTGGCATTCAAGCTGCCCAGTCAGTAGCAAGCCCTGGTTCGGCAGTGGCTCTCCCTCTGGAGGGTGGGTTAAAACCGAGTCAGCTGCGTTGATGGAGGGACGTAGGCAGGAAGCCCTAAGGTGATTGGCTGAGGGCACTTCCGGCGGTCATCTCGCGGTAACCTGGGCTCCACTGGCGCCAAAATGTCGCTTGTAGCGGGAGTTATCCGGCGGCTGGACGAGACAGTGGTGAATCGAATCGCGGCAGGGGAAGTTATCCAGCGGCCGGCTAATGCCATCAAGGAAATGATTGAGAACTGGTACGAAAGGAGTCGCGCTGGGCTTCCTTAGAGGCCAGGATTTAACGGGCCGCTGCTCTGCAGGGTGCGGACACGCCTCCCTGCCCTGAGCGGAGGCGTGTACGGCGCATACTCACGGCAGCGGAGGCCGGGGGTCCTCTCTTCTCTCTTCTCGGGTTCCGTGTTCTCGATTGCCCTCGCGAGATTTTAGGGTTGTTGGCGCAAATAGAGGGCTGCACATTGTTGTTTTAACGATGCAGTTAGGAGAGATACTTTCAAAATTATACATACAGAAGGTGCATATTTTTAAATGTGTAAACATTTTATGTATTTAAAAAGGGAAAACAACTCCCCTCATCATTCACAGGGGACTGACTGTGTGTTATTAGTTGCTTGCTTATTCCAGAAGTCATCCATATACATTCAAAATATACATACACATTCAAAATATACATACACATTTTGAGTTTTTTCCTAAGTGAATTGTCAGCATTTTAGGACAAGACGATGGACTTGTGATTCAGCTTGCGATCTTGATTGCCAAGTTAGTGACCTCATTTCGTGTTTTCCTGCCCTTTACTTTTTGTGGGGACACTTAGAAGATACCTGATTTTTATGAGGGTATTTCGTGAATTCTGAAGTTTAGAATTGTCCCACAAACATTGTGGAGGAACGAGGTGAAAAACGTGGAAAGAAAGATGGCTGTAAACTGTAAACTTCAAAAAGGACAGATTCTCATAATGTGCCTAAACATTGTCAGATCCTTTGTAGTAAAATCCATTGATGCTAATAAAATCTATAAGTTAAAAGAAAAAAAAATGCCCCAGCGAAGAATGGTAGATTTGACAGTGGTTCAGAAAGGACCACTGAAAGGAAGAAAGAGAATTAGAAGGAAGCCAAAGAACCTGGGAGTGATTTCTCCTTTTGACTTGATATACATAGTTCGCAAAGGCTGGCTTTTGTTTCTGCAATGTTAGAATTAACTGACAGAACAATTTGGGTCTATTATTGTACTGTGCCGAAATACTGTACAACAGAACTACACACATTAGCTCAGTGGCTTATAACTCTAGGCAGAGATTTTGTGTGGGGTCCAGTTACGCTTTTTTAAATATGGAAGTCAAGATAACTAAGGACAACTTCAATTCAGGGGCTCTGGAGACAGGTATTTAATATTTCAGTAACATAACCTTACTTCTGTATAAAGGATTTTCTGTGTAAGGAGGAGTTAACTTCTCTTTCTCACAGAGCCCCAGGCTGGATTTATTTTCTCGAGCTCTATAGGTGCCCTGTGCTCCTGGGTTACTCTTTGAAGGTATAAAAGGTGTATTTGGCTTCTTAAAGCACTTTCTGCCAGTTTTTCTTTCCCCCAACATAAATACATTTGCTTAAAGAGAATAGTAGAAAAAAATGTAGAATTTTAAAATAACATTCTATAAGGGTCATTTAGGAACCTGAGGCTGAATAAAGTTTGAGTAACAGATGGTAGGATTAGTTGAGAAGCAGATAAGAAAGAAGCATGTGCTAAAAGGTCCCACTACTAACTTCCCTTCCTTTCTTTCCTAGAGAAACCAACATGGTGCTGAATGTCTTATTGGAAATGATGGTTGCCCCCTCTGGCCCTCTCTTCCTTCTCCTCCTGTCACAACACGTCAACTGATAACAATGTAGTCACAGAGCCTGTAAAAGAAAGGAAAAACACATTAAATTTATCTGGAATTTGTTCTTATCTCTTGGCTTATATTAAAATCTGTGCATTAGAAGGGGAGGAGGGTAAGAAAAATAAAATATGTGCATTAGAGTAGTTGTAGACTACTAAATTATTAATTTTTGTTTGATCTGCCAGTTTAGATGCAAAATCCACAAATATTCAAGTGGTTGTTAAAGAGGGAGGCCTGAAGTTGATTCAGATCCAAGACAATGGCACTGGGATCAGGGTAAGTAAAACCTCAGAGGAGAAGGATGTTTGTGTGCTTCGTGTGCTGCATCTGCAGGAAGTGGCAGCACTTTTTCTTGTTCTGGAAACTTTGGGCTTCTGTGCATGGAATTGTTTGAAAAATTCAGCACCAACAATAAATCTCCTGGGTGCCTATTCCATGCTAGGCACTGTTCAAGGGGATAAGGAGGTCACAGAGCAAGTTATGAGGCTGTTTAAAGGATGAGTGTTCTGGGCAGAGAGAACAATACCTGTAAAGGCCACAAAATGGAAGCTTGTTTGATATGTTTAAGAACAGCAAGGAGGGAATGTGTCTAGAACAGGGTGGAAGAGTGGAAGAGGAACAGGAGTTGAGGTCTGAAGGATAAGCAGGCTGATCATGTAGGGCCTTATGGGACATTGTAAAATCTTTGGCTTTTTCTTTGGATAAGATGGGATACTATTAGAGTGTTTTGAGCAAAGAAGTGACATGGTTTGGCAAGTTTTATAAGAACTCTTTTGTCTACGGTGTGGAAAATAGACTAGCAGGACAGGACAGAAGCAACGAGGAGGCTCTTGAAGCGATTCAGCAGAGGAGTGAGGGTGCCTTGGACCAGTGTGGTCACAGTAGAGATGTAAGAAGCAGTGAGATTCTGGGTTGATTGTGAAGAACCAAGTTCTCAGAATTTGCTGGCGCAGGGTGTGAGAGAAAGAGGAATCAAGAATGATTTCAAGGTTTTCGCTGTGCAAATAGAAAAAAAAGAGTTGCCATTTGCTGATGGGAAAGGCTATGGAACAGACAAGTTTGGGAGAAGATGGGAAATTCATTTTGGGGTATGTTAAACTTAAGATGCTTGTTAGATGGATACAGATGTGAGTACAGGGTAGAGGTTTGGGATGATGACAGAAATTTGGTGTATTGCATTTTAATAGTGTTAAAAGCCATGAAGTCACATGAAGAGATGCTCAAC